TATAGTATAGTTTATCTCATGTTTTGCTGGGGGGTCATGACTGATCGTACATTTCTTTAAACCCACCTTTAGAGAATCTTAATACCCTTCAAATGGGGACTAATAGCATAGTAACAGCACTGACCCTGGAAAACCTTTAATGAGTTCTTGTCTTTGTGCATTACAGAAATGACTAGTGTAATGAAATGACTAGTCTTGTAAGTGCACTGAGAGAACTCCTTTGTGTTTTACTTGGTGTAAGATGTCTTGTCTTAGTTTTGGGCATAGATCACTTTCTATCACTTTTGTATCCCAGAATTTAGTTGATTGTCTTTTACATATGTTTGAAAGACTCTATAAAATGTTTTTATTTTAATGGAAGAAACTATTGAGAAAATTTAGCTGCAGAGAAATGAATGATTTTATCAAGCTCAATAACTAGATGTCAGGTTCTTGGCTTTTCTAGTCATTGCACTATGCAAATTTATAGATACATTGCCCATTAAAGCATTATCCCTATCTTAGACCCAAGGCCATGTTTTTTTTTTTTTCTAGAAGAGTTATTTTTATTCTTTTTGCTTCATTATTACATTTTTATTTATGATTATTATTTCTTGATCTGAATAGCTTCTAGTAGCTTTGGTTATCTGTCAGTAAATACAGATTGTTCACTTATTTGTATTCTTCTTTGCCTTCCAAAATTACATTTAGAAAACAATTTTAATATATATGGGCATTGTCTAAGTGTTAGAATATAATATTTAGATCCTAATGTAAGGAGACAGACACCTATGGACACATCTTACAAATTTTTAACTATTATAGCTTAGTTGAGTGCTGTTTTTCCTTAGGCTTGAGTAACATTCATCTTACATCTTAATAAGTTTATTGGGCTTGTCCACAGTTAACAGGAGCACTGGATCTTTAGGGAAATTTAGCACCAAATCAGTGTCTTAGAATTATCATTTATTCTTAAATACATAGGCATCAGGCTATTGTGCCAAATTTCTTTTACTCCTTTAGTTCATATCAAACTTCCTTGTTTGTATAATATCCTGGCTTCTTAGAGCTGAAACTATTAATTTCCATCTCAGTGATAGGTCCCAAATGTAACAGTTGAAGTAGTCTGTTAAGGATTGTATTTTTTCTTCTCTTCAGAGGTCTACCCTTTTTACTTTGTCACTTAAAGCAGAGAGGACAATCACAAATTGATAGTTCTTGAAACAAGATCTTCCATTTATGTATTACAGTCATCTCTCTGTATTTGTAGGGGATTGATTCCAGGACCCCATGAAAACTAAAATCTGCAGGTGTTCCAATCCCTGATACAAAATGGCATATTATTTGCATATGACCTATGCAAATATCTCATGTACTTTAAATCATTTCTAGATTACTTATATTCTGACACATTGTTATGCTTTGTAAATAGCTGTTACATTGTATTGTTTTATTTGTACTGTTTTTAAAAAATTTATTATATAGTTATGTAATGTTTTTATCTTAATGGAAGTTTTTACTAAATGAGTAGGCTTCATGCAGATGAAGTTTGGATTTCTAGGTGGCCCTCACTCCTCCTGGTAGTGGACCAGATACCCTTTGTGTTACCATATGCCCTCTGCCCTCCTCCATCTCCCTCCCCTAGCAGGGCCGTGACTGCTGGTCCCACACTTGTGCTAGTGTGCCTAGTGATTGGACCCACTTATGAGTAAGAACATGTAGTGTTCAGTTCTTTTTTCCTGTGATAGTTCACTTCATATGATAGTCTCCAACTGCATCCAAGTTGTGAAGGTCATGATTTTGTTCTTTATGGCTGCGTAATACTCTATCATGTATATGTACCGCATTTTTTTTATCCAGTCCACTTTTGATTACATTGTTATTTTCTGTTTTTTTTTTTTTTCAGAATATTTTCCATCTGTGATTGGTTGAATCTGCAGATGTGGAGGGCTGACTATATATTTTCTTATTCTCTTTCTGGTTTTCTTTCAGTTCCATGCTTATTTATTTTAAAAATTATATACAGCAAAATTAACTTTTTTATGGGCACATCTGAGATTTGACAGGAGTATAGATTTATGTAAACAGCATTACAATCAAGGCACAGAACAGGTCCACTCTAAAAAAATCTTTTTGTGGTCCCCTTTAGACTCATCTTCACCCTTTATCCTCACCCTCTGGTAACTAATCACCGATCTGCGATTTTTGCTGTAGTTTTGCCTTTTCCAGAATGTCATATCTATGGAATTGTTTGAGTTGAGCTTCTTCCACTTGATGTAATGTATTTTAGATGCTTACATTTTGTTATGTGTATCAATAGTTCATTCTTTTTTATTGTGGAGTAATTAATATACCGTTGATTAAAAGACCATTGTATGGGTATAACATAGTTTATCCATTTGCCACTTGGACATGTGGGTTGTTTACAGTGTTTGATGACTTTGAACAAAACTGTTATAAACATTTACTTAGAGACTTTGGGGCAAATATGTTTTCATTTCTGTTGGTTAACTAGTTAGTGGGATTTCTGGGTCACATGCTAACTATGTGTTTAACTTTATAAGAAGCTACCAAACTATTTTCCAAAGCAAGTGCACCAATTCCAGTTTCCATCACCGTATTTTATTTGAATAGAAAATATGTAAATATGACCCATTTAAGTATGTTACATTTAGAAAAGTAAATAATTGCGTAAAAAATGATAATTTTGTTCCTTGTGTTGCTCATTGATAACTTTGACAATTAGGCAGAGATATGAAATCTGATGTAATGTGTGAAAGGGAAGATTTTTTTTTTTAAGGTGCATTCTTTTAACTGATGAAAAAGAGCTTTATAGGTCATAGCAAGAGTTTATGTACTTTGCCATTTGTCTGCTCTTTCTCGTCTTTGACATCCTTTCACATTCTCTCACATCCTTCAGGAATTATCTTGTTGCTAAGATGGAAAAATAAAAATTATATTAATGATTTAGAAGGAAAACTGAAATAGCAGTAGAGACATTTATTTAACAAATATTTGCTCAGCAAATATTTATTAAATGCCTACTAAATGCTGAGGACTCTTCTAGATGCTGGAGAGTCAGTAGAAAGTTTAACAGAGCAAACAAAAAATAACCAATAATGAAAACTACTTCATTCAGATCTTAATTCTAGTGATAAGTACTAATGTAAAGCACACAGCATAGGAGAAAGAAATAAAATTTTGATGGGGTAGGGGCTATTGTTAAGTTATGCACCTCTGTTTTTATTTGGCAGAAGCCAGGACTTTTTTTTGTTGTTTAATAATTTTTTAATTTTGGAATGATTTTACATTTGGCAAAGTTGCAAAGAAAGTACAGAATTTCAGTATATCTCTCACCCAGTTTCCCCTAAGTTAGCAATTTGACATTAATTGCCATTGCCATTGTACGTTTGTCAAAGCTGAGAAACTAGTACTGGTACATGCTCTTAACTCATCTTCAGATTTTATTGAGTTCACTACTTTTTCCTCTAATATCATTTTTCTGTTCCAGGCTCTAGTTCAGGATACCAGATTGCATCTAGTCATTATGTTTCATTAGTCTCCTCTAATCTGTTACAGTTTCTCAGTCTTGGTTTTGTTTCTTTTTCCTCATTTATTTATTCAATCATTTATTTGTTTCAGTTTGGATTCATGTGTATTTATTTTGTACATTGGGTTCTAACTGAAAACTCCAGAAAACCCCAAAGGTCCTACTCTTGCATGTTGCATAAGGCAAAAGGCTGGAGAGATGTTACGGGAAAATATGAATGACATTAAAAAGCTATCGAAGGCCAAAGCTAGAATAATTTGAGCAGGAAAATACATACTGGAATATTGAGTTAGAGCCCAGTATATAAAAGAAACATACGTGAATCCACACTGACACAAAAAATAAAACAAGGACTGACTATACCCCAATAGTAATGAGCACACCAGCACTCAGATCTTGATTTCTAATTACTGTTTTCCAATAAAAAGAACTAGGCCTTCCTAGAGAAGGGGTTGAGTTGCATGCTGGGGTATTGTTTTATTTTGTTAAAATATTCTTAAGAAAATCTCATTTTGAAAATTATGCTAAAGAGATAGTTGGCCAGAAGTATAACATATGCTGACTTAGGAAATTACAAAGTAAAAATTTTGTACTGCTAAATCAGGCCCATCTTTTGAAAATCAATGTATCCCCCCACAAAAAGTGCATATTGGGTCATTGTTTAAAACAGTATACACTTTTGAAAGTATTTCAAATATATATGTTATTATACAACTTTAAGATAAGGTAGTCTCTGTTATTTAAGTTTTTGTTTTAAGCTCACGTTAATATTAGCATACTTACCACATTGAATGGAAATAGATGGTTTGTATCTTTTATTTGAATAAGACCTTTGGACCTTTCTTCATATGAATTGTAGGTGGGAACTGGGAAATCTGTTGTTAAATTTCTCCTAGGGAAGTTGACATAAATTTTAATTGCATTCATTTAATAATTAGTCTCTTTTTCAAAAGTGAGATTTTTTAAAAAAGTATTTTGGGTTTCAGTATTGTAGACATTTTCTGCTTTGGATTTTTTTTTTCCTCATGGATTCTGAAGTCAGATTGCCTGGTTTTAAAATCTGACTCCTCCAATTCTTTTCTTTTTAAAGATGTGGGGGTACAATTCAGGATTAAGTATACAAGTGGACATCATACAGGTAAAGTTTGGTCCCCACTTTGCCTGGTTTGAGATCAGGTAACCTTATTGATGTTATGTCCCCCATGCCTACCACCCTGGCACTATTGGTATGGATGTTTTAAGCCACAGGGATAGGTAAATGATTTCAGCAACCCAAATATGGTCTAAGAGGTATGTATTTCTTTTTGGTCCTCAGAGTGGGGCAAGTTTTAAAGTTGAATTAAACTTTAAATTGGGAGTTAAAGTTAGCTTTGAAAAAAGTGGATAAGTTTAAAAGTGGATAAAGATATTATAGCTGTAAAGAACAATATGTCTTATGTTTTAATTATTATTTTTTTATTTTCTTTTGCAGAAAATGTAGCTGATCACTACATTTCCCCCTTTCATGACATTCCTCTGAAGGTGAACTCCAGAGAGGTATTGTTTTGACTTGAGAAAGAAAATATGTACTTCTAGTATCATCATAAGATGCTTTTTGGGAGCACCTTGAAAGGGAAGAATGTGGCTTAGAAGTCAGAAGGAGAAACATAAGTTATTGTAACAAGGTTGTAAGCTTCTCATGAATTAAAATTTGTATGAGAATAGGATTCTTTCAGGAAGACTTGGGAGAAAAGGGTGTTAGTGATCCATAAGCCTTAGAATTTGATAGGAAATAAAGATTTAAGGAAAATTTAGGAAGTTAACAAGCGATTTATTTCTAATAACAATACAGCTAACTTTTGTGGATTACTTTCTATTTTGCTAGCCACCATGTGAACAAATGTTATTTAATTTTTATGAGTTTCTATTATCTCCAAGGACACTGAGACTGAAGGCATTTTATTGACTTGTCTAATATAATATACCTGGTAATTGCCAGAGCTAGGTTTCAAACAAACATTTCTGATCATAGTCTCTGTTATTTAAGTTTTTGTTTTAAGTTCACCTTAATATTAGCATGCTTACCACATTGAGTGGAAATCGATGATTTGTATCTTTTATTTGAGTAAGACCTGTGGACCTTTCTTCGTGTGAATTATAGGTGAGAATTGGGAAATCTGTTGTTAAATTTCTCCTAGGCAAGTTGACATAAATGTTAATTGCATTCACTTAATAATTAGTCTCTTTATCAAAAGTGAGATTTTAAAAAAATATATTTTGGGTTTCTGTCTATAGTAGACATTTTCTCCTTTGGATTTTTTTTTTTTCCCATGGATTCTGAAAACAAGCATTTCTGATCACAAAGTGCGTGCTCTTTAACCACTCTATGAAACAGGTGCTAGAAAAATAGAGCAGGGGTAAAAATGGTGATATTTAAATAGCTATTTTTTATTAGAACTTAAAATCACTTGGTAGTTGTCAGGATATAAAAGATGCCAGGAAAACTGCTGCTATAAAGTCAAAATAATTTATTTGGGGCCTCAAAATTTTTGAGGCATCTTGAGATCTCTCCTGATTAGTTGCAAGATGACATATTTGATAGTGGATATTAATGACTATCATGAAGTTGGAAGTTATCTCCTTTCCAAGTAATGAATGATCAAATTTGTTAAGGGGGCACAGCTAGTAAGTAAATAACCAGGACTACATTCCACGTTGAGATTATTTGGGGCTGAATGGGTTTGGGTTTTCCAGGACTGTGAGGAGATCAGTGTAGTGGCTGAGGCCGGTAAAGAACTAAGAAAGCTGCTTCAGATGGAAGGTTTGTTTGACCTTGGTGTTAATTACCTCTGAGGCTGAATATCATGCGAATACTGATTTTATGGATGGTGAAGTAGGATTTGTGCCGCCTTCCAACCCTACAGCTGTCAATAATGATGGCAACAGGGAGAAACTATGCTCAGTGCTTGACATACATTATCTTAGTCCTTCTGGAACTGCTATTCTGTGCTTATTTTGTTAATGAGGTTAAGTACCTTGCCCGTGGTCAAGAATCTAGTCTGTTGTGGAGGTGAAATTGAATTCAGGTGCTCTAACTTCAGAGTGTGTATTTCTCACTTCTCTTGTGTAATGCCTCCAGCTCATTACTTTTAACAGTTGAGCTGCAGGACAAAGCGTCATATAACCTGGAAAGAGCAAGAAACCAAAGAAAGGCAAAAAGAATTGTCTGTTACTGTGTGTTTCTGAGTGTGTGAGAGTGTATGTGTGTATACATGTCTCTGTGTTATATTTTGTTTTGGCCTAAATATCTCATGTCTCCAAACACCTTTCCTTGCTTTTGGCCAAAAGTGCATGCTTTCATTTATTCATTAATTTATTAATTCAATAAATAATCATTACATGCTTATTATGAGCCAGACACTATTCTAGGCACTGAGTGTGTAGTGGTTAATAAGATAAATATAGTTTCTACTAAATTGGAGGAGTCAACTATAAAACAAATCAGATAATGTTAAGCACTGTAAATATACAGTGAAATGTAAGATAAAAAGGTTACTGGTAGGAAGTGTCATCAGGCATCTATCATAACAAAATCTATGTATTTCATAATAGTAATAATGCACCTGTATTTCTGAGAATCATGTTGTAGGTAGAGGTGAAGGTGGAACAGAGTGAGCTAAAAAATCTCAGTGAGCATAACATTCTGTCTGAGGGTGGGTTTTGGAGAATATGAGATTTGGGATTAGGCAAAATTGATGATAGGGCAGGGTAAGTACAATCAGGTGTCAGTGAGTTCTGGAGATACAGAGATTGATATACAGTGGTCATGTCAGTAGGTTTCCCTAGTTTTCAGTCAGTAATGATCAGAACTCTTACTTTTTAGGGAGTATATAGTGTATTAGGAACAGAAATAATGTTTCAGGGTCAACTTGGAATAATTACTTTTCTGTTTCCTTCGTTAGTAGTCATTTTGGTATATAAACATTATGCATACTGTGTGAGCATTTGTGAATGGCGTAATTTTTCTTCTCTACCCACCATGTAGTCTGTTTTCATTTAAAAGTGCCTGGTGGAGGCATAGTAATCACACCTTGGTAGAATTCACAGGCAGGAGGTGCAGCCGGAATACTTTCACGGCTTGTTAGTCATGCTCCCTGGGGTTTCATTTCAATAATGAAATGACTGTTTTAAGCCTAATCACTGGAAACTGCCTGTCTTTCCTTAAAAACTGAACACCGCCTATGCTTATTTTATAAAAACTAGGAAAATATTCTTGAAAGAGATTTAGCTTTCGGATAATTTATTTTATGAAACACTTTGATGATGCTGAGGGAAAAACTAAAGTGGGAATTGGGTAGGTTTTCTGTTGAATCCTATTTCTTTCAGCCTCTGTAATAGAGTGTTTCTACAATCGTCGTACTTTTGTTGCTATGCAGTGTGACTGCATTCTTTCATGAAATATTACAATAATAATACAGTTTTTTCTTTTTATAGGAAAATGCTATTTCTACAAAGAAGGCACGGAATGAAGAATATGAGGTATATCTAAAGGTTTTTATTTTTGTGAATCACTTTTCTATTGTCTTTTAAAGACCTTGGTGATAGTTTGCATTTGTAAAGGGCCTCAAAAATTTTTCCCCTTGTAAGACTTCCATATGAATTCTGATGTTCTTCTTCTAGTACCTCTTTAAGGTAACTAGAACAAATATCACCATTTAATTTTTCTTACTGTGGGAAAATATTCATAACATGAAGTTTACCATTTTAACCTTTTTATTTTGTACAATTCAGTGTCATAAAGTACTTCTACATTGGTGTGGAATCATCACCACCATTCATCTCCAGAGCTTTGTCATTCCAAAGTGAAACTCTGTGCACATTCAACACCAACTCCCCATTTCCTCCCTTTGGTAACTACTATTCTACTTTCTGTTTCTATGAATTGGATTATTTTAGGTACTTCATTACCATTTCATTTGGTAAGTGAAAAGCCTGAGAGAATTGGCACAGGAACCCAGATATTAGTAGCAAGTTATTTATCATGGAAGGAGGTCTAAAGTAAATGTACTTCATAGGAGAATTGGTCAGTTTTTACCTTATTTTTATTATTACTATTATTATTATAAGATAGAAAATTTGAGAGGCTGCTTTAGAACCCAGGAACCAATAGTCTTTGGAAGTATAGGAGAAAAAAAAGTTATACCAACTATATGCTAAAATAAATATATTCTGAATATATCTTTTAACTATGTGGCTGTCAAACCTTTAATACTTCTTGACCTAGGACCAGAACATCTGATTGATGACTGTCATCCCATCTCTTGCCACAGGTGTCCTTTCATCCTACTGATGCCAGGCAGTTTTTCCTGCTACCTTCCTGCTCTCTTTTACCTTTCCATCCTTATTTCTATCTACTATATTCTTTACACCAAATGAAACTTGTGACTCCAGTCTTTGGATTCACTTCCAAACATAGCTGTTTAATTCCTACAAAGTGTGCTTGCTATCCTTCTTCTATTTTTTTCTAGGCTGTCATTTGTCCAAATGGTCCTTGAGCCATCTACACTGGAACCACTTAAAGTGCTTGGTAAAAATTCAGATTCCTAGCCCCATCCCATAGCTCCTAGATTATCCTCTGCTTGATGGGTCCTGGCTTATCTACATGCTTAACAAGTGTTCCAGGTGTATTCTAAATATGATGCTTGAGAACCACTGCCCTAGAGGTTGGGTGAACAAGACTTTATAGGTCCCTGAGAACTTTGGGTATCAACCTGAAGCAGTTGTTTCAATGGGAAAACTATATTCTGAGTCCAGACAGTCAAATTAAAATTTAACTCTTAGAGCACAGTTTATAAGTTGTACGCTGTCTGATTTGGGTTTATTTGCAAGTTTAAGTGTTAGGAAAAAAGAATGATTTCTTCCTATTTTTTCCTCCATATATATATAAAACATATGGACTGCTTTTTTATATATGCTATTAGTTTTTCTTTTTGAGTTCTGCAACAAAAATACATGGAAAAAAATAGAAATAGAAGAACTGAAGGAGGAGTGTCCCTGCCGCATATACAACTTTCTGATTTGATTTGTGTCCCTTTTATCTTTTTGATTTTCTAATAAATTTTGGCAGACCACTGTTGGTTTATAATTAATATTAATCTTAGGAAAAGCAGGCTAACGATGACTTTAAAAAATTACCGACCAAGTGCATTTTAGCTAGAGAGAAGAAAGGCAGGCTGGAAATAAGCTTTCAGTGATTAGGAACAAATGATGAGGGAGAGTGGGGTTTGTAGGCTTAAAATTCAAACCTCATCTATTGTTCTTTTGGCCTAATTCAAATCTCTGTGAGTGGTTTTGGTAGATGTCATTGTGTAAAATGATTGTTACTAGCTTGGTCTTCTCTGTCACCTCTAAGTATTCATCCACATGCATTTGTTCTCTTATAGCCAGGCTTTCAGGGATGAATAAATTATGTGAACATCTGCCATTTACTTCAGTTTTCCTTTTTAACAGCTACTTCAGACATATTTAAACAGGTGCAGGGGTACCTCATGAAAGAGCATAGAAAATGAAACATAACAGCATGAGTGTGTATAAGGTTGCTAAGAGAGGTATGAGACATACTTTTAAGGAGCAGTTGTTTGAGAATTTGTTCTCAGCTTTGTTGTTTATATCATTATAGGTCTGCAGTTTTGCCATTTGTAAACTTTAGTCTTATCTAGAAAAAATAAAAACTATCATTACTTTTATTACTTTTCAGGCTCACTATATAGCTCCATTTAATTGTGTAAATAGCCTTCTTTGAATTAACAGTATTCCATGTTACACTAGGAAACCCCCATGATATTGTTTAGTAATGTTTTAAACAAACTCTGGCTGCATATTAGAATTGCTTGGACAGCCTGTAAAATTAAGCAGTGCTCTGGCTCCACTCCAGACAAATTGTGTTCAAACTGGTGAGAGGTGATGCTTTGGGAACCTTTTTTTTTCAATTGGTTAAAGCTGATCAGGTGATTTTGATGTGTGGCATGGTTAAAAATAAGTAGGTTAAATCACTGTTTCTCACATGATCTGTGGTAAAGGACTAGTGCTTTGTTTTATTTCTAATCTGTTGTGAACTGGTACTTAAAAAAAATACAATCAAAATTAATTGTAAGAAAAGTGTAATTCAGGTTCCAATTTTTGATTATTAGATTCAATAGGTGTAGTAAAATACAGTTGCAAATTGCCACAAACGTTTTGAAATGAGCTGATAAAAATCAGTTTGCAGATTGGGTCTGGTCCATGGCTCTGCTTGAAGTACACTATTTTAAAGTATTGTTTTTCCCTGACATTATTGATACCAAATTGGCATACAAATCAACTTAACCTTAAGACTTTCTCTTTGTAAGGCAAATAGTGGCAAGTTATTTTTACTCATTTTTAACCTAGAGTCTCTTTTGGTTTAAAAAAAAAGCAACAGCAACAATTATCATTTTGGACTCTGAAATCACTAGCTAGCTAAGCTAAGTTTAGAAAGTTACGTCTAACTCTTTGTGAGCTCTTTAATAGCCATGTTTTTGACCTTAATTGTACATTGTAATTTTAACTTGGACTTAAATATTGTTTTATAACTGTCAAAATATTTTACTTCATAGTGTTCTGTGTATTTTCATTGGAATTATATAATTGATCATCCTAACAACTATGTGTGGTAAGTGGGATAGAGATTATTATACTTAACTTTCCAACTTGGGAAAGTGAGAATGAATTCTTACATGAGGGACTCAGTCTCTCACTGCTATTTCAGTTGGAAAATAAAAATCAAAATGTATTTCCTGACTCCATTTTAGTTCTGACACTACACTGCTAAGGTATTTCCAGACATATCATAACATCTAACACAGTGCAGTAGGGTTCAAGTGACTTGGTGGCTTACATTCTGCTAGGTTAGGCATAAATTAGATGTATGATGAAGCCTCTAAGCAGTTTTTGTTGGAAAAAACCTAAAGCATTCTTGTAAAGGAGATAACTTAAAAAAAAATGGTAGGTAAAATTTTTAATGTTCTCTATTTTGTTTTCTTTTGAACTACAGAATTTGTTTAATATGATTGTAGAAGTACCTCGGTGGACAAATGCTAAAATGGAGGTATGGGTATGTTTTATTAATATAAAACCAAAATGATAATAATGATATAAAAACTTTGTTTCAGGTTGTCTGGCATAATATTTTGATTTTGGGAGAGTTGAGAAAAATATTCAAAGCTGAATGTGCAGTTTAAAGACTGGTTTTTTTTTTCAATTTTGCCTCTCTAATCTTTTATACATATATTTGTTTAATTTTCTTTGTCTTCCCTTTCTTTGGAAATGGCAAGTATTTTCAAGGTTTACTTAAATAGATTCTGAAATATATTTAGTTCATAGATACAACTGAAACATTTATTCAGGGCTGATAGCAATTTTAATTTCTAAGAACTAAATTCTCCTTTAGAATTTATCTCTACCACGAATTTTTCCACCAGCATTTTCTTGATTAACTTGATTTATGAGCCCTATCCAAGAGCATCTGCTGTTCCCCTAGCTAGCTTTTTAAAAATATATTTTCCAGAAAACATGAACCTGTCTAGAATTTTTCTTTTACTCCTCAGAATTTTATTGTTCTTCCTTCAGTTAGACAGGATTCCTTATAGTTCTAAGTGAAATTTAATTTATGTTGCTTTGTTTGTATGTGATGGCAAGTATTATTTTAAATATTAAAATTAGTCATTATTATGTAAATGTATTTCAAAATTTATATTTGGAGAAGTTTCAATACTTTCACCAGGTCCAGTCAGTATTTTTGTCAACACTTTAATAAGAAAAGTTAGATATTAGATTCTTCTTTTGGTCTTGCTCCAGGTATAATGTTTCATCTTTACTGCTACTTTCTACCTCAGGTAGGTGTAGGATCCAAGGATCTGTGAGAATCTACCTAATTGAAGCAATATTTCTTCATTCAACATGGCTTCAGTTATTATTTTAATTTATGGCATAGATTTTTTTTTTTTTTTTGAGTTGGAGTCTCACTCTGTCGCCCAGACTGGAGCACAGTGACCACTCCCGGCCACTGCAGCTTCGACCTGATGGGCTCCAGTGATCCTTCTGCCTCAGCCTTCCGAGTAGCCGGAATTACAGGCGCGTGCTACCAGGCCTGGTTGATTTTTTGATTTATTGTAGAGATGAGGTCTTGCTGCGCAGGCGGGTCTCGGACCCGTGGGCTCAGGCAATCCACTCACCTCAGCCTCCCAAAGGTGCGGGATTACAGGCTGAGCCACCGAGCCCGGCTGCATAGATTTTTTTTTGAATGGCAATATGAATATGTTTGATAGAAAAGTAACTTTGAAGTAAAATCATTTGTTCAGAATCTTTTTTGATGATTTTTTAAATTGTATCACAATGGAAGATTTATATTGTATTTACTTATGGAGTACACAGTGATGTTACAATTTATGAACATAGTTTGGAATAATTAAATCAACCTAATTAATATATCTATCATCTCAAGTAGTTATCTTTTTTTTTGTGGTGAGAACTTTTGAAATTTATTCTTTTAGCAGTTTTGAAAGGGACAGTATGCTATTAACTATATTCACCACACTGCACAGTAGGCCTCAAGAACAACAACAAATGTATTATTCTTGTCTAACTGAGATTTTGTATCCTTTGACCATCATTTCCCAATTTCTCCCACCTCCAATCTCTTTAGCCATAATTTTAATCTCTGTTTCAACGAGTTTGATTTTTTTCTTTTCTTTTCTTTTTTTTTTAAGATTCCATATAAAAGTGAGAACATGTGGTATTTGTCTTTCTGTGTCTGGCTTATTTCACTTAGCATAATGTTTCCAGTTTTATCCATGTTGTTACAAATGATTGAATTACCTTTTTTTTTAAAGACCAAATGGTATTCCATTGTGTATATATACCACATTTTCTTTATCTATTCATCTGCTGATAGACACATAGGTTGGTTATATATCTTGGCTATTGTGAATGGTACTGCAGTGAACATGGGAGTACAGACATCTCTTCAACAAACTGATTTCTAAGCTTTGGAATAAATACTCAGAAGTGGGATTGCTGGATCATCATAAAAATAATTTTTTCTAAGTTGGGGGAACCTCTGTATAGTGTTTCATAATGGCTGTACCAATTTACATTCCCATGAACAATGTACAAGTGTTCCCTTTTCTTCACATTCTCATTAATACCTGTTATCTTTTGCTGTTTTGTTAATATCTATTTTGACTGGTATGAGATGATATCTCATTGTAGTTTTAATTTGCATTTCCCTAATTCGAACATATTTTTCATATAGCTGGCCATTTTTATCTCCTTTGAGAAATGTCTGTTCAGTTTCCTTGCTTATTCTTTAATCAGACTTTTGTTTTCTTGCTGTTGAGTTGAATTCCTTATCTGTTTGAGATATTAATCCCTTATTGGATGTATTGCTCACAAATAATTTATTCCCAATCTGGCAGTTGACTCTTCATACTGTTAATGGTTTCCTTTGTGCACAGAAGCTGTTTTAGTCTGATGTAATCCTATTTGTCTATATTTACTTTTGTTACATGTGCATTTAATCCAAAAAATTATTGCCCAGACCAATGTTATATAGTTTCCTTCCTGTATTTTTTCCTAGCTTTATAATTTTTTTTCTAGCTTTGTAGTTAGTGGTCTTATGTTTAAGTCTTTAATTCATTTTTAGTTCATTTTTGTATATGGTGTGCAATAATGGTCCAGTTTCAGTCTTCTATTTGCTGATATCTAGTTTTCCCAGAACTATTTATTGAAGATACTATTATTTTCCCATTGTGTATTCTTGGCAACTTTGTTAAAAATCAATTGATCATACACACTTGGGTTCATTCCTGGGCTTTCTGTTCTGTGTCATTCATTGATGTTTCTATTTTTTTTTTGCCAGTACAAGTTGTGCATTCTTTATTGAAAATGCTCAGAACCAGAAGTGTTTCCAATTTTTGGATTTTTAAAAAATATCATCAGTTGAACATCCCAAATTCAAAAATGTAAAATGCAAAATTTTTCAGACTTTGGATTTTTGGATTTGTACCATACAATACTATATTAACCTGTACCGTACTTTTAAAATTGCTATAACTTTGTAGTGTAGTTTGATAATCTGGTGGTGTGATGCCTCCACCTCTATTCTTTTTGCTCATGATTGCCTTAGCTGTTTGTTTATATTTTTTATTTTTATTTTTTCTGATTTTGGGTTCCACAGGTATTTTAGGATTGATTTTTTTCTATTTCTGTAAAAAAAAAAAAATAACATTGGAATTTTGGTCAGGATTGTATTGACTCTTCATTGATCTACAAGATCACTTTGGACATTTTAATAATAATTCTTCCAATCCATGATCACAGGATACTTATTCATTTATTTGTCTTATCTTCAATTTATTTCATTAGTGTTTTATAGTTTTTAGTATATGGATTTTCCACCTCTTCGGTCAAATTTATTCCTAAGTATTTTAATTTTTCTAAATTTATATTTAGGATTTGGGGTACACCTGTGTAGTCATTACATGGACATATTGTGTAGTGGTGGGGATTGGGTCTCAGTTGCCCATTACCCAAATAGTGAACATTGTGGCCCATAGGCAGTTTCTGAACTCTAACCTCCCTCTCCACCTCTTATTGGTTTCCCCACTGTCTATTATCTTCATCTTTGTATCATTTAGCTCCCACATATGCGTGAGAACATGTGGTGTTTGATTTTCTGAGTCAGTTTACTTAGGATGATGATCTCCAGCTCCATCCATGTTGCTGCAGAGGACATGATTTCATTCTTTTTTGGCTGCATAGTATTCCATGGTGTTAATGAAAATATGGCATATATATATATATACCATATTTTCATTAACCATTGATCTGTTGATGAAAATTTAGGTAAATTACACATCTTTGTGACTGTGAATTGTGCTGTGATGAACATGTAGATGCAAGTGTCTTTTTTATAGAACAACCTCTGTTCCTTAGGGTAGACATCTAATAGTGGGATTGCTGGATTCAATGGTAGATCTACTTTTAGTTCTACAAGCAACTGATGACAAAAACATACACTGGGGAAGGGACTCCCTATTCAACAAAATAAAATCCTAGAAGAAAACCAGGAAAAACTCTTATGGACATCGGCCTAGGCAAAGAATTTATGGCTAAAACCCTGAAAGAAAATGTAACTAAAGCAAAAGTAAAAAAAAGTGGGCCTTAATTAAACTATAAAGCTTCTGCACAGCAAAAGAAATAATCACCAAACAGACAAGTTACAGAATGGGAGAAGATATTTGCAAACTATACATGTGACAAAGGGCTAATGACCTGAATCTACAAAGAACTCCAACAAATCATCAAGAAAAAAGTAAATAACTCCATGAAAAAGTGGGCAAATGACATGGACAGACATCTCTTAAAAGAAGATATACAGGTGACTAACAAACATATTAAAAAATGTTCAGCAGAGGAATTCCAGTAAGATGGCAACAGCATAGATGGGACTGTGAGATTCTCTGAAAGTGAGTTCCCAAAAAGACTCTTACTTTTCTTCCCCCACCCCCTACCCCCCATCAGCTGCACCGGTCCAAGGCCTGAATGCCCTCGGTCCCACACAAGGCTGGCTATTGCAGCCTCATGACTGCTGCTCCTACATAGGTGGTTGCAGGCCCAGATGTGTGGAGATCCCAGCTCCATCCCCGGCTACAATGTCTCACCTGGCCCCAAGCTGCTGGCCGCTGCCTGTGGAGGCCCTTGGATACCGCCTTGTGGAGATCTGGGTTCCCTTGCTGGTTACACTGATCCGCCCTGCACTCAGCTGCTGCCAGCTCCCTTCCTGACTGGGTGCCCAGCCCGGTGCCTACTCCTCAGAATTCCAGCTCCCCACCCTGGGTTCTGGGCCCCTGTCCAGTCCTAGTTCAAGCCGCTGTCACCGGGAGGCTCTAGGCGCTGGCTGCTCAGAGATTCCAGATTCTTGGCTGAAGTGCCCTGTGCAGGGCCCAAAGCCACTGTCACTGCTCACCACCTGTCCTTTGGAGCTCTGGTTCCCGTTCTGGCTGAGGCACCCAGCGTGGGACCCCATGGTTGTGTAAGGGAACAGTA